CTTAGAAAATTATACTACGGCAAAAATTGCCGTCGTTGCCTCAATGATACATGGCATTTTGTTCTCCCTCTACGGCAATGGACCATTTGCATTGTAGACTAAATTTTGATCTAAACAAGTCTAGACAAAAATGTCATCACAGCTTGAAAGAGCATCGCAAAATTAGTAATATTCCAAAGTTTCGTTGCGAAATTCTGTAAAATGCGGATAATATAGCCTTGCGAAATTTGCAATTTTCAGCCATTTTGTATTACAAACGGGAAATTGATGCCCCAACACCCGATTGGGCTGTCAATTCCCGTGCGTAATACAAAATGACTGAAAAACGGCAAACTTCGCATGGCTATATTATCCGCATTTTACAACATTTCGCAACGAAACTTTGGAATATTCCTAATTTTGTGATGCTCTTTCAAGCTGTGATGAAATTTTTGTCTAGATCAAAATTTAGTCTATAATGCAAATGGTCCATTGTCGCGATAAAATTCAAGCCCTGGCGCTTAATAATGCTGTGTTGCTGAACAATATTATTATATTTCTTAGGTACGGATGGGACATTTCGTCGTCGTACGAGTGTAAGAAGCGGCAGTTTCAGTAAGATCATGACGTCATTTCCAGCGCACGGAGGCCCGCCACGTACTGTAGAAAACGCAGAACGCACGAACGTTCGACATGCCGTGCGCACGCAAGACCTAACACGCACCATATCGGACAGTGGCGCGATCCGACACAAAGGACCTTTACACAGCGCAAGCTTACCAGAAATTGGTCTAACCCGTGTCAACAAGGTGTCCGATTCCGACAGCCTTGTTTGGCGTAAGTGCTCAAGTACCGTGGACGGATTTCAAAGAAGGGGGTCGCTATCCCCGACCGTTGAACGAACTACACAAATGGGAAGCGGTGCCCGCGAAAAGACTCAAAGTAGTAAGGACTCATCGCATGGGTCATTTCCACAAGGCGCTAGGTCGTGCGACAATAGTTTGACGTTAAGTATGGACTCGAGTCCGTATCCATTTCGGAGGCCTCTGAGCAACTCATTTGGAGCAGTACATTCGAGAAGCGAGAATCACAAGGGCAGTAATGGCAGGAAGGTCGAAGGGGTCGCAGATGTTGGTTTGTCTGGGGAAGAATTGGCGAGAAAATTGTTTCACTTAGATGGTTTTAACCGGAACGAAGTTGCGCCCATGTTGTTTAAAAAGTAAGTTGGTCACCTTCTGTTGTGTATTGGTCCTTACTTTTAACCTCTTGAGCGGTACGCTTTGAGTAAACCTGGAAATGTTGTTTCCTATAGTCATGTTTCCCGAAGGTGAAGAAACCGTTTCCTAGCCATGTTTCCAAAAGGCGGGCAAACCAGCAAACATTCCAATATTTCTTCATGACTGTTTTTCTCAACCTTTGGGAAACAGTATTTTCTGGTGTGCCCACCTCTGTTAGCCATGTTTCCCAAAGGTGAACAAACCAGGAAACATTGCTTTCTGTAGCCATGTTTCCCAAAGGTGGACAAACCAGGAAACATTGTTTCCTAGCCATGTTTTCCAAAGGTGGACAAAGCAGGAAACATTGTTTCCTAGCCATGTTTCCCAAAGGTGGACAAACCAGGAAACATTGTTTCCTAGCCATGTTTCCCAAAGGTGAACAAACCAGGAAACACTGTTTCCTAGCCATGTTTTCCAAAGGTGGACAAACCAGGAAACATTGTTTCCTAGCCATGTTTTCCAAAGGTGAACAAACCAGGAAACATTGTTTCCTAGCCATGTTTTCCAAAGGTGAACAAACCAGGAAACATTGTT